GAGACTAAGAAAGACAGGAGCCATAATCAAGGATTTAAGTAATAAAGGGATATGGATGCATTGGCTTTGCTGGCTACATCTGTATCACTCTGGAGCAGGGATGTGCCTTTCAGGCAGTGCCAGCACTAGCTCAGCAGCTGCAGGTGTGCAGAACTGTAGCATCCCAATGTGTGATTTGCCTTCAAACAAGAATACATCCCTCTCTAACAGTAACCTGCTGTAAGAAATGCTGTCCCAAGAAGTTGTGTGCTGTCATGTATATGGTGTCTGCCATCCTCTCTGATCAGGCCAAAAAAAAACCCCACTATGTGTCATATTGTGCCTTATCCTAAGCAAGAACCTGACTTAGATTACTCAATGCAAATATATTTGGTGGAGTTACTCCTTCTCATGTGTTTTTGAGCCTATGAATAATGCTTACACATCAGGAGGTGTAATCACTGACCTAGATTAATAGCCTGCAAAGTGTCATTGTTAAATTAAAAACTGCCTTTTTTTCCTGCTAAGGAAGGCAAACCAGCTCTTGGAAGAAGGAGAACATTCTGCTGCCCAGTTTTCTACCTCCAGCTGTTCAAGTCTGAAAAGCAATTGAGTAGAGGTGTTAGAAAAGGGGCCTAGTGGGTGCAACCTGGAAAGGGGGAAACAGTCTGATAGCTGCCTTGGAGAGGTTTTCCACCACTCTGAATCAGAGGGGTGGATCTGCAGGCTATGAAAATTGAAGCTTCTGGCAAATATTTTGTTTTCTATTCACCTATTTGTTTAAACAGTTTTTGTAAAGGCAGTTACGTTCAAGTGTGTAACAGTCTGGGTGAGAAGCCCTCATTCTGCAAGAGCCTGAAATCCACAGAGGATGGAGGATGATTCAACCCCCTTTGCTCTGTAAAGCAAAGCATATATTTGTGTTCCAGTGTTATTTTAAAAAAGGCTTGGTACATATTATATCAACATTTACTGGTACAACAAATAAATATGCTACTACGGATGTGTAATGGCTGTGGGAAAACATAAGAGTATACTTAATTATACTAATATTTTGTGTCCTTTTCTCACCTTTTTACACATTCTGACTCTGCTCGTCTATTCCTCTGGCAGGAAGGTGCAAGACCTCTGTGTTTAATTGGGTAGCAAAGACTGTGAGAGAGCTGCTAAACTTGTAAGGAAATCTTAAATGGTTCTGTGTGTAAAAGAACAGGATGTGAATTTTAGGAAGAGAGATGAGTGTTGATTTTGTGTGAGGGTGAAGGTGGGCTGTGGGAAGCAGACATGGGTAGGTGGTGTTGCTCGGGAACAACTTCACTCCTCGTGGGAGGAAAAATCAGAAAGTAACCTCTCTGTTCCTACCTATCAACTTACCTAACCTCTCTGCTCCAACCTATCTGCAACCCCTGAGGAAGGCAAAGGGAACCTCTTTGCCATGAGCCAGGCAAGACTACAGGTTTAAACAAGCTCCTGGGTATTTGCCAACTAATTTACCCCTGTCAGACTCTGGAGGGTCAACTGAAAGGAGAAGGCAAAGTCTACAGACTGTGTGGCTGCCTGTCTCCTACCTCTGAGCTGCTTCTTGTCTCCTTCCTGAAGAGCCAAACCAACTCCTAAACCTGGGCATTTGCTAGATCCGTCTCAGATTCCCTTTCCCTAATGGTTGTAGGCAAGCCAAGCAATGATTTAACATGTAGGATGTTTACTAAGAGTGGAGAAATTCACACATCTTTTCATGCTCCCATCCAGTCCACACCTCGCCACGTTCATTGCCTCTGGAGAATAAAATCACACGCACAACAAACATCTCCTGTGCTGTTTCCCCTCGACAGCCATCCTGCAGATCACAGCCCCTGAGAGCCGTAGTGTCACCCACGAGGCAGAGGGCTGCAATCATCCCACGTTCACCTGGCTGCAGCAGTGCCTCCCGCGCCGAGGCTGGGATGGCCAGGGCAGGGGTCAGCACCAGAGGAGCCCTAAGTGCACTTAGAGGCTCGTGGGCTCTCCAGCCTCCTGAGGCAAAGGAAGAAGCAACTGCTCATTTTCTCCTTAGGACTTCTTGCCTTTAGGCGTGGGCAGAAGGAAAGTACAGCCTTCTAAAAGGCCTCCTGATACCCATCAGGGGTTTGCTTTCACTGTAACCTGGAATTTACTGTCTGCTTTCTCTTTTTTGTTCTTCAGAGGAAACCCTGTGCTAAGACAGCTGGGGGGGAAGGTATCTTGCTGGTTTTGTTTTGACCGGAAAATTCGCGGATTTCTCTTTGAATGTAGGTTTCCAAAGCAAAGATGTGAATGTTGAGGTTTTTATTAATGAACTGACACCTCCTGTGAATGGCTTCTTCACCCTGGGGTGCTCACCTCCTGTTTTGTGGCAGGAAGAGCACTTGCAGCTGATGAAAGGCTGGGAAGATCCCTCTGGGACAGCTTAAGAGCGCCTTAGTTTGCCCTATCTAAAGGTTTACTTTAGGGCATTTGAAAAATGCCTCATTAGCAGTTGATGACTTAGCAGGGCAGCTGTGGTTTTGAAAACCTAGAGCTGCCCCTTGCCAGGAGCTCAGGGTGGCTCTTCTTGCCTGTACCTTTCGTTGTGGGTCCAGGCTCTTTCCCTGTGTGCAGCAGCTGATCCCAGTCCCCTGCAGTCAGCCCTCACTCACCCCATTGCAGTGTTTGCTTACCAGACTGGCTCTGCCTGCTTTGCCAAATACTCCGTGTTTTAAGTGTCAGGATGGGTGTTTAACAGTCCCTGCCCTTCCTGCCGTTCCTCCTCCCCAGCCCTGACACTGCACTTGTCCTTTCTCACCTGCTGCAGCCACCTTCCTTTGTGGCTGCCTGTACCTTGACTGATACTCCAGCAAACCAGCGACTCCCGTGTAAAAGTCTGGAGCAGGTGTGCAAGTATTTCAGGAACCTTTTTGATTACCTCTGGATTTGCTGCCTTTCTGTGCTCACTGCCTGCAGTGCTGTGGCAGTTTCTCTTTCCAGGCACCGTGTGACTGTACAAGATGTTGGCATTAAGTGCAGCTTTCCTCTCATTTCTTCTGTAGCTTCTGATGTGCCCACTGGAATCTGCTCGGTGTCTAAGCAGACTTTGCTTTTCAAAGTCCCTCTTACTATTGCTGCCTTTCATTCTGTCTTTCATTTGTCTGTCTGCTTTCCCTGTGCTGGAGAGGATGAGAATTCTTGTGGGTGCTTTGCTGTGCCCCACGCGGGCAGGAGCCAGATGAGAGAGAAACCTGATTGTCCCTCGCTCCGTGTTGCTCTCAGACACTCCTGTTTGCAGCACTCCGTGGTGCAGCAGCAGGTCTGTTGCCAGCTCCAGTGCCTGCCATCTTCTCCTCTGGGAGTCTTTGAGAGACTCCTATGTTTAGTCCTGTGCTGATGTTACCTGGGCTGCTTCCAAGAACAACACAGAACTGCTTCCTCTATTCCTAAAACTGACACAGAGAATGAAAACTACAGCAAGATTATTTTTAGTTCTGTAAAAGTGCAGCTAAAGCAGCATTGCTGGACTCTGCCTGGCCAGAATTTGCTGTTTCAAGATGTCCCTGGTAGTTGGGAAGTGCATGTGTGTGTGTGTGTGTGGTAGATGGTATTTTAAAGAGAATGGATTTGCTATTTCTCAACGCTTGTGTTACAGTTTTGGATTGGGCCATCTATGCAAATGAGTCTGAAGTCCAAGATTAGTTTCCAGTAAATGTTCATCCTGAAACCACGCAGTTAAGGAACAGGAAGAAAAGATCAGAGCCAAGCTGCACTTGCAGAGCTGGGTGTGTGCAAGCAGCTCCCAAGGAGCAGCAATGCTGCAGTTCGAGACCACGGTGGATCTGACAGGGCTAGGAAGAGCTACAAGAGCAGGAAGAGCTGCTGTCAGAACTCTGGGCTGTGTCACACTGGTGGGGACCAGAGGGATGAGCTTCGTGCCTGTTTGTGTTCAGTATTTCTGTGCTCTGCACACAGCATGACACACCTGAACTCTTCTAACACACGGGACATCCTGTGTGCTGTACACGCTCAAGGGCTTTGTGTTAAAATATGACATGCACAGGAGAACTTCTCCTGACAGTTCCCTGCCACAGCCCATCCACAGACACCTGCCTGCTCTTCCCTGGTGATTCACTGCCAGTGACCTGGTGCCCACAGTACCTCACAGCCATCTCTGTGATTTGAAAGAAAGGAAAGTGCTTGTGTTCCTGACCCAAGAAATGCAACCCCCACTTTCTTGTTACCAGCATCTTTTGGCAGTATTTTCCACATGGCACACTCCTGGGTTGTGTCCTTTGGGGCTGCTGCCTCTCTGCTGAGGGAGCAGTGAGAGAGCAGTGCCGTGAACATTGTGTGCTTCCTGCAAGTCCAGATGCCTCCCTTGCATGTCTGTGCAGCTCAGCACTCAAAACCTTAGTGCTTTCTCTCATAGAAGGAGTTGATGGTGGAGTCACATCTGCTCTGAACTGATCCACATAGCACTTAAACCAGGAGGTTCTGCATCCAAGTGGCCACAGAGGCAGGATTCATAAGCAAAACTCCACAGTGAGCAGTTGTTGAAATTGGACCACTCTTGTTTAGAATTGCAGATGTTACACTTCTGTCTTGTTTTTACTGTTACCAAAATCCATCCTGTATCATTAAAATTCCACCATAGCTGTCTGTGTTCTGTTGTCTCTTCAAGCTGATACCGGTTCAAGCCTGCATAAATTCAGAGCTGAGCAGCCTCCCTTTGTATTGTCCTCAGCCTCTGCTGATTAGATCTTGTTTCACAGAAATGACTTGGTATTGTGCTTTGATAAGGTATCTCTCAGCACAGTCAGGACCGGTTTGTTTACCTGATACTATCTAAGTGCTCTAATTCCAGCCAGCAGTCTAAAGTTCATAGGAGGGGAGATGATTTCAGGAAAATGGAGAGCCAGGCTGGTGGTGATGAGTGCAGGGCATTCAGGTTGGCTGCTCATTCAACCACCAGGAAAAAAAGCCTAAAAAAGAAACTAGGGAAGCACTAACCAAAGTTTGTTTTTCTGGCCTCTCAGGATGAGATGACCTCAAGTTTGGGCCTTACCACAAAGAAGGCCCTCACAATCCTGAGAGACCAGCTGTCAGCACTGCTGGAGGGGCATCAGAAGGAACGGAAAAAAGTGACTTCATGGAAGGTGAGGCACCAAAGGGCACCAGGGTTGGGCACTCGACCTCCCCTTCTCAAAGTAAAGCTGAGGATTGAACAGAAGTTGGCTGTTTTCCATCCCAGAGTGCTGCTGCAGAGTGTCTGGGTGTAGAACTGCTAAAGCCCTTGGGAACAAAGCAAGAAATCCACCTGAGTGTGTGTTTCTGTCAGCACTTTTCTCCTGGATACCACAGCTTTGGCTTCACCTGTAAAGGATTTAAGGACTTCAAGAGCCACTGAGGGCAGTGTCCATCTCAGGTGGAGATACAGAGCTGCGAAGCTCAACAGTTTCCCCCTGTGCACTGTGTTTGCCTGGTGTGTGTGTTGAATACAAAGTGCTGGTGTTTATGCACAGTACTTAAATGCTACAAGTGTTCCTGGGGGGGGGGGGGGTCAGTGACAATGGGACAGCCTGGCACAGAAGGCTTTTCATTCTTCCAAGCAGGAATAAAGCAGGAGTGTTCACCCAGACACACCAGCTGAGCCTCTGTAGGTGCTGTAGGATTCACACAATGATTGGGGTGTCCTGTGGCATGTTCAGGGGTTTGGCAAAGTTGTGTTCACCCTGGAGCATCAGCTGCTGCCTTCACCCTCTGCTTTTTCAGACGTCTGGCTGTGTGCTCTGTGGATGCTGACTGTCTGCTGCTCTCCTTTTGTAGGAGGTGTGGAGGAGCAGTTTTCTCTACCATGGTAACCGCTGCTCCTGTTTCCACTGGCCTGGTGCATCTCTGATGCTGCTGGCGGTGCTGCTGCTGCTGTGCTGCTATGGGAGCCAGCCACAGGGGAGGTGAGCAAAGCATCCTGTGCTGCTTAACTGAACCAAGGGGGTAGTTTTGTATCGCCTTGTGTGATTGACATAACGGTGTTGTCCCTCATTCTGTCCAGACTTGTACACTTCAACATGCTCACACTGGTAATTCTGTCCCTATCAGGCCCTTTCACAAAACTTCAGCCAACTTAATTCTACTTCTAATAGACCCAGGCAGTGTCCTGTGGAAAGAGTGAAATTTTTTCTACAGCATTCCCAGATCTTTAAAAATCCTAAGGCATTATCACAGGTTTAAGAAGGATTTTGAAACTGGAGAAGTTACTGGCTCATGGGAGAAGTTACTGTGCTGTCACATGCACCATAGCATGCCTTGACCATATTTGTGAAGGATTTTTAATTGAGATGGGTCCTTTCAGACCTCTCTGGTGTCATTATTCTAAAGAAGAAGTGTGACCATAGCTCCCCTGCATTTCATTTTTAGCCCTAAGTCTGGGAGGTGTGGGAACAAACAACCAGGCAGATGTGTGTTAATCTCTGTGGGTGTCTGGCAGTGGATTCTGCTCATTTACTCAAAGCTCATCTGTTCTCTGCTTTCTTCTGTTTTGCTGTGTGAAGCCAAGGTGCTGAGATAGTTAATGCACTGGCACTCTTCCTCCTGCTCCTCTTGGATCTCCTCATGATCGGCCGTCAGGAGAGGCTGAAGTGCAGAGAGGTGGAGAGGAGACTCCAGACAATTGTTGATAAGATAAACGGTGAGGCCTCGTTCACCTGTCTCAATTGCACCTATCTTTTCCTCCCACTGAATTTTTCTCCAAACCTGATCACACACATGACTAAGTAAGCTTTGCCAACCTTGCCCTGTGTTGCACAGAAACAGGCTGTGAGAGCTGTGCTCCACTCGTGCCTGTCCTGTGAAATAGTTATTTTGAGCTGTCATGAGGCCATGTGCTTCCAGGCTCTGTGTTACCAGGTGGGCGTCTGTTATGGCTGTGCTTTGGAGTAATTCGAATCCTCGGCTTCTCCCAAAAATATCTGCCTTGCAGCAGATGATGAGGGGGGGAATACGTGGGGTTGTACCACAACACAGAGCAGAAGGAAATAAATTGCTGTGCGTGAGCATCGTCTCAACGGGGGCTTTGGCACCTGAGGGGGCAGCTCATTTCAGTGTGGCAGTTTTAAGGACAGCCTTTAGCTTTTCCATTGTACAACTACGTGTTTAAGGTTATAAAATGACTGTTTAGTTGTTAGTACTGCATGGAGAGAGAGGGAAAAGCCATCAAGGAGAAAGAGATATCCCATATCCCATATGGGCTGAGCTTAGCACTGAGCTAGAGCCACTACAGGATGTCAATGATTGTGGGACTGGTCCCTCCAGAATTGTTACCGCTTAGTTCTTTCACGCTTTTGTGCTTTCAGATACACTTGGCAAGGAGGTGAAATGGCCAGACTCCATGTACCCTGACCTTCACATGCCTTATGCCCCATCCTGGTCCCTTCACTGGGCCTACAGGGATGGGCATCTTGTCAACCTGCCCGTGAGCCTCTTGGTGGAAGGAGATGTCGTTGCTTTGAGGCCAGGCCAGGAGTCATTTGCTTCTCTGAGAGGGATTAAGGTAACTTGCTTGTCTTATTTTCCTGGCCTATAACAATGTGTTTCCCAGGATTTTCTTGCTAATGCTCTAATTCCCAGCGTACAGATTATTGGAGTGTTTGATTTCTTCCGACCTTGGAAATAGCTTGGAAATTCCAGTTCAGACAAGGACAGTGCTCTGTTAGCCAGACTGCATCTTCTCCAGGAACTCCCAAACCCAACGGACAGGAGACACTAATGTGATACAAAAGCACCATATTTCCACCTCTCCCAGGTCAAGGGGAAATTGTAATGTGCTGCTAAATATAAGTGGAGTGAATCTATCCAGTAGCATAACATGACATACAAACCCCGTACTTTATCCTGCTTTTTATGTAGAGAATTAAAGTTTGTCTGCTTTCACCTTCTCCTTCCTACTGATTTATTACAAAAGAAGGTGATATAAAGTGCCTGGGGCAGTAGTAAATTAACAAATTGGTTACAATATCTATAGAAAGATTTTGCTGCTTGAAGAAGGTTGGAAAAAGTTTAAAGCTTGAAATTTACCCTTTTTGCTTTTTATTGTAACTTTCACTCCAAATGCCAGTTTTTGGTGAAATAACCAGATGTGTTTGAACACAGGATGATGAGCACATAGTTCTGGAGCCAGGAGATCTGTTTCCACCTTTCTCACCCCCGCCCTCCCCAAGGGGAGAAGTGAAGAAGGGACCTCAGAACCCTCAGCTGTATCGTCTCTTCCGTGTCTTGAAGACCCCAATAATTGATAACGTCAGGTGGGTTTTGACAGTCATCCCTCATGGGAGGCTGAGCAGAGCATTCTAATCAGGAGGTTTATGTCCAAGGGAAATGCAGACTTGGTTGCTGAAATCTCAAGCTGGTTTCCATTTCTCAGGTGGTGTCTGGAAATGGCTTTGTCACGGCCTGTGACAGCCCTGGACAATGAGAGGTTCACGGTGCAGTCAGTGATGCTGAAGTACGCCGTCCCCATTGTGCTGGTAGGTCTCATTTCAAGCCTTTGTCCTTAAAAATAGCCATGTTTTGTCAATAAAGGTGAAGAATCTGCAGCCATCCACAGGAAACTGTGGCCAGGCCCTAACTCATTCAGCTGACTCCGTGTGTACCTTGGGCAGTTCAGAGAAGCAAAGATGCTGAGCCTTGTAACTGTGGGAGTGGACACAGGAACTGCAGCAGCAGCAGATCAGATATATCTTCCAAACTTTCCCAGGGCTGAGCACGTTACAAGGCCCTGAAAACTCCTTCCCTGCAAGTACTAGTGAGTTAGCTGACAGTGTCATCTCTGACTTGCAGGCCGGGTTCCTGATCACCAACGCTGTGCGCTTCATTTTCAAAGCTCCTGGAATCGCTTCTTGGCAGTACACTCTTCTTCAGCTGCAGGTAAAGGAGAGCTTTGAGCTCCACTACACCTCCCCAGAGCACCACTGAGACTGATTCCCCTCCCTCAGCCACTTGCTGCATCCTGTTACAGCATCCTGGGCAGGTTGGATCCAGGAGCATTCAGTGGAGCAGGACAATGGCTCTCCCCTGGCCATTCCTCCTCGACTGCCCTTTACAGTTTTTGTTCTCTCATTTGCCTTATATGTATAGATATATGTGTGTATATATACATACACATATATATGTATTACATATGGTATCCTTTGCCTTTAAACTTACTAGAGTTTATGCCAAATTCAGCAGGAAAACCAGGGTTTATTCATGGCCTCCTTCATTACAAGTCTGTAAGGTGTGCTTTTCCCTATGTGGCACTTCTTCCAGTCTCCTTCCTTCCTGCCCTAAACTTTTACCCATCCTCTCACTGTGGGTGGAAAAGATGCCATGTGAGAGGTCTGACTTCTTGTTGTCTCTGGGCTTGTTGGTGATTACAAGCTGGTTTTTTTTCAGGTGAATGGTGTCTTACCCATCCTTCCATTGCTCTTTCCTGTCCTGTGGGTTCTTGCTACAGCCTTTGGAGAAGCCAGAGTCCTGGCCCAGATGAGCAAGGCCTCATCCACCTCACTGGTAGGTATCTCTCCACACCAAACTGCTGCAGAGACAAGGGCAGGAGATGAAAAGGCTCTGTGAAGTGAGCACAATGAATACAGAAGATTTGTCTACATAATTGTAAAACCTTGTTGGATCTTTGGTTGTACCACCTGTGCCCTCTCCCTGGAGTACAATATTACTTCTTCTTGAACAGATGCTTTTATTTTTTTCAACCTCTCTACACATATCCCAAGGTGATAGGAAGCTCTGGAGATTCCATAAAACTCTTCAAGGCTTGTGCTTTCTATCAGATGAATAGAATTTGTCGGAGGGGTCAACATGGAGATAAATAAGTGGTGGCTGTAACTTGGGAATGTTTAGCCACTGGGAAGGAATGGGATACACGAGATCCTCTGCAATCCCCTGTTTTAATGTGTGGGCTGAACAGCCCTTTCCTGAGACTCTGGGGTTTCACTTGCAGGCGTGGCATTTGCAGTGGGTCAGGGAGTGAGAGAAGTTTCTGGATTTGTGCTGGTTTGGGGAGTGGAGTTTGGTGGTCTGATGGAACGTGATGCCTGTTGGGTGTCTCTCGTTCTGTCCTGGTGGCAATGTTGGTGAGGTGCACTGAGCTATGTTTGTCTTCTGTGCTGATTTCTGTTACTTGGGCAGAGTTTCCCTCTTCTTCTTGTCTTCCCTTGGCCTCTGGGGCCCTGGGTCTGTGTTTTCTGTTCTGTACCCTGTAGCTGTACATGACACATTTCCTGTGTCCTGGGAGGGAGGAGACCTATTACATCCCTCAGTGCCATTTCCACCTTTACCATTTCTTCTCAGTGTTTTCTCCACTTTACCTTTCCTACCCATTCTCAGCATCACTTGGTTTCTATCTTTGGAACCTTCCTCTTTCCCTTCACACCTTGTTATCTGGGAAAAGCCAGAGCTCCTTGGCTTCCTTGCTTCATCTCAACATGCCCATTTGCTCTGTCGCTCATACTTGCACCTTCCTTGTGTTCTTTCCTGTCTTCTCCTCTTTCTTGTCCAGGCAGCTCTCTCTGTGCAGCCAGCTCTTTCTGTGACATCTCAAACATGATCCTCCAGCTGTTGGATGTGCTTTGGTCATTCACCCCCTGACCAAGGCAGTCTTGGCCTCTCTGTTTCCCTCCTTCCTTCTCTCTTCTCTGTTTAAAATGTAGCAGGTAAGACTCCTTCCCTCTCCAGACACTTGGCCTGTGTGACACTCTTCTCCCCTTCCTATCATGTTCAAGGTGTTTGATTCCCAATTTTTCCAGGCCATAGGTGACCCTTGTGACTGTTTGCAGGACACAAACCAGTGCCCCCCTCCAACAAGCCCCTGCCTCGAGTTGCATTACTACAGTTGGACCACAGCAACGTTTCTTTTAGAAAGGAATTTGCTGCTGGTTTGAAAATATTTGTACTGCCTTTGATAGGTTATTTCAGTCATTATTTACCTTCACTACTAAAAAGGACATTCTATTTTAGTGGGAATTTTTGCAGTATCTGATTTTCAGCCCTTGGAACATTTACATCTTTTGTCTCCTAGATTTATGAGCGTGTCAGTCAAAATTCTGGTCTATTGTAACTACTCACATTCTCTTTTACCACCTCTGGTTAAGTAAACAGTTTAAGCACCTTGAGGCACTGTAAGCATATTTTCCAAACCTCTAATCTTTCTCTTGGCATTCCTCTTAGCTTTCTCCAGTGTTTCAGGATCACTGTAGAATTGTGAATCTCAAAACCCACAAAATATTCCAGTAATACTTTGTGCTTGTGCTGAATTTCAGAATGATTTGGACTTTCTATTCTATATTCCCTTGTTTGTGCAGCAAAGGATCATATTAGATTCTTTAGCCATTGCTTTAAAGGGCCAGGCTTTGTTCAGCTGCAGTTACTGCTTTCTAAGAGTCCTCATCCTGTAAGTCCAACCTTCATCTTTGCACCTAAATATGCAGCCTTAGTTTTGTGCCTGTTGGGATACATGTTTTTGCTTATTACCCAAGCAGTGCATATTGTTCTGAAACAGTGGTCTGTTCTCCTTATATTGCACCCTGCCCCAAACTTTATAGAGTTTACAGTCACTGTCAGTGTTTTTTTTTAGTTTTCTTTCACAAAATACCCACATTTGTCCCTGCTTGAGGTAGTAACACATTCTTTTGCAAATTATTTTTCTGTTCCATTTGGGATAGTCTATTTCTAATATGGGCCCTATTTCCCTGGTATTTTTGTTAGAAAACCAGTAAGGTATTTATAATCAAGTCAAAGTACCAAATGGTTTATGTCAAAAGCATTACTTTTATCAGTCAAATTTATAATTTTGTCAAAAAAAAGATATCACAACAGTCTGATGAGATTTGCTGCTCCTATACTTGTGGTGTTTGGCACTGGTTGTATTATTCCATTTCTTTTAATTAAGTCTCATATTAGCTGCTCTGTTATTCTGTCTGAAATCAAAGCCTGTCTGGGGTCCTGTGGTAACTTGGATGGTTCTCATTCCCTTTTTGGGCATTGGCACCACTTCCATTGAACTGGGACTTAATCCATAGTTCAAGCCTTGTGCAAAATCAGCAGTAACAAGTCATTGTCCAGACCTGCTAATTTAAACATATTTACTTTCAGTAGCTGGTGTTGGAATGGAAAATATTTCATAGTTATCATATGGTGTGATTGTATCACTGACTACAGAATTGCAGTATTTACTGAACACGTCTGCCTTGCCTCCAGTATCGTGTGCAATTTCAATGTCTTTAGCAAGCAGTGGACTGGTTTTAATTTACTAATGGTATACTTTCCCTAGTTTTTATGTTAATTTTTATTTCTGTTTTCACTTCCACTCAAAACTGGATTCTTATTTTTACTATGAGATTGTTACTTTTTAAAATGGTGACAAAATATTCTTAGTTTCTAATTATCCTTCATAGTTCTCAGTTTAAATTATTTCTGACAAATTTCTCTTCCCTTTTTTCAGCTTTGTTAAATGGATCCTTTTTAAAGGGTCAGATATATGCATTATTATTTGGGCTGCTGTTTTATCTACCTACAGATGTAATTGCCATATCCACTTTTGCTTATGAATGGACCTAAACTTTTCCAAAATTCCATCTACTGTGGAATTCCTTTGTGCTGGATGCACACGTTCCGAGTCAGTGAATTTCTCACTGTAATTCCACGAGCCCCTTGGTAGTGCCCTGCTATAATTTCTCTTCATTTTCTATCCACACCCCGTTCATGTCACCTCATTCCTCCGTGTCCATCGTGTTCCAGGCTCCTGCTTTTCCAACCCCTTTTCCAGCTCCCTTCCTGTAAGTGACCCATATAACTTCAAACCAGATCAGTCGTTCCTGGCTCTTTCTGTCTAAAAATAACCATCCAGAAAAGAGCCTCCTCTGGGTCTAATTGCTGTTATTTTCTCTGTGGAGATTCAGGTAATGACTGTGTGTTCCTCTGTGATGGACAGCACCGAGCACTTTGCCTGTGCTTCACGAGTAGATAAAGCCAGAGTCCATTAGAGATTTAATTGCTTTGATGAGTTATTGGTCTGCCTTGGTACAGAGACTCCCCCAGAGCAGGACTCCTGATTCCTCCTCTCTGAAGGCACATACTGAGGGATGGATGTTCCTCATGACACATTTCTGAGCACAATTATAGTAACTGGTCTCTTCTCTTGCTGCAGCTTGCTAAGTTTTCAGAGGACACTCTCAGCAGCTACACAGAGATGGTATCTTCTCAGGTACTATTATTATGAATTGTTTTCTTCCATCTTCACTGCAGAACTTCATGGTATCCTTTCCCTTCCTCTCTGATCTCCTGCTTGTTCCTAGACCCCTTTGACTCGTGTCAGTTGTCCATTGTCACTCATTTGTTGCTTTAATTTGCAATGCATGCAGGTTGCATGTCTTTCCCCTGCACCTTCCCGTGTAAATGCTGCTCTGCTGACCAGAGATTGAGGTGACTTCAACGCTGAGTCCAGTTGTGCTTTCCTGAATATTGCAAATAGTTTGAAATCAACATTTTCTGTCCTGAAGACAGTGCCTCTTTCAAGTCCTGTTCCAGGAATAAAACAAACTTTTTATGGTGTGTGTGTGTCAGAAAGAAGGGAAGTATTTTGCTTATACTAAAAACCCCTCATTTTTCAAGCCAAAACTGAAAACCAGAGGGCATGGTGGTCAACAAGACCAAACATACAGAGGGGACCACGGGATGTTCAGGCTTTTTAAAAGTCTGATCCTGTTTCAGCTTTAAGCACATTATTAGTGCTTCCAAAGCTGGGGCAATTAAACATATAGAAGAGCTTTTTTTCTGGTGAAGGAACTGCTCTGGCCACCCATAAATTGCATCATCCAGATTAAACAGGTGGGTAGATGAAAGACACTTCTGTGTCTAATCTGGAATTAAGATTCCCCTTTCCATAAGGAGGCAGATGGACTCCAGCAGTGATTAAAAATCCCTAGATATTATAACAATCAATTCCTATCTCCTTGCTTCCAGTCACTCACAGGAATGTACATGGGTGCAGGCACGTGCTTCCTTTGATGAATATTTTGTTATCTTTCTGTGCCAGTTCATCATTTAGCTGAGATGTTTCTCAGGTTGTAAATGGGAGTGATTTGAGCTGACATCATTGATGAGATTTGCTTCTTTTGTACCTATGTCACATTTTTTGCTCAGAAGAAACTGGTTTAAATAAGAGCTTTTTTTTTTATTTCTGGTGATAGCTCATGATTGTTTTGCATTTGAGCTGACTGCTGTACTAACCCTTAGGATCCAAGGAAGGTGATCTAAGGAGCTTTGGTGATGTGAAGCCCAAGGCCTCAAGCTCTTACAATCCAAGGGGATGAGTGACTTTAGGAAAAGATACTGAGAAGTAGCAACTGATTCACTTGAAATGAACTCGCTTCAGAATTCCACTCTGGGTTTTTGGGTAGGCAGAGGTAGTTTCAGTGAATTCTCAATTCAACAATCAAACTGTGTGTTAGTGCTCTGTGGAAGGGGGAAGGAGTGCTTTTCCCTTGGGGACATCAGCACTGTATCAGGTAACAGGTTCCCACAGAGACTGATGTTTATCTTACAGTGTATCACTGTGTTGAAACTGAAAGCAGGTAATGTCATACTCCCTTTTTTTCCTTCTCTCCCTTCATCTTCCACGGAATGAGTCTTTAACTGGCTGATGTCCTCTGCTTCCCTCGTCAGGAAATGATTCGCTGTATCTGGAGTCACTTCCTCTGTGTTTTAAAAGGCAAATCCCCAACTCTGAGCTTCACTTCCAGCTTGCTCCACAGCCTGGGATCTGTCACTGTGAGTATTGCTGGGTTGTCAGAAAGAGGAGTTCTGTGTGGATGCTGCATTTTCACTGTTCATGTCCTTCCCTGAGCACAGACTGTTAGCAATCAGCTCACTGTGCTGGAATTAGAAACCCTTCAGGCACCTGTCTTTGTAGAAGAGTTTTTAACTGTCTTGTCATGTCCAAGCAGCACATTTACAGGCTAAAACAGTGGTTATAGATACTCTGTGACATCTGTCAGGGTGTCTGTGTTTTCCAGCTCTGGTTCTGGTCCCATTACCTCCTTGACTCCTGTTCAAGGACCAGCTGGTTTGGGTCCTGATAAGGTGAAACAGGTCGAGCAGTTGCTTCCTTCCCTTAGTCTTCATGCCTAGTTTTGTAATATCCTGAGATAAAATTGGTGTTAAACTACCCATCAATCCTGTTGGAGGAAGGAATTATTGGATTTCTTGGAGTCTTATTAGGTGCAGTTTCTTAAGACAGAAGGTTGGGGAAGAAGAGACTTGTCTGTCCTCCCTTGTGTTTATTAAACTCATGATATTTACAAATCTGCCTGAACACTGAGACACGTTTTCACTGAGATTTTGCTTTCTTGGGGGTGTTGTGGGATGTTCCAGGTGCTCTGCTGTGTAGACAAGCAGGGGATTCTTTCCTGGCCAAACCCCAGCCCAGAGACTGTTCTGTTCTTCAGTGGGAAGGTGGAACCACCTCATGATAGCCATGAAGATCTGACTGATGAGCTCTCTACACGGTCCTTCTGCCATCCTGAGATGGAAGATGAGGTGAGTGCGCCGTAATTCTTTGCCTAAAATGTGAAGAAGCAGCCAGGATAAGATCCTCTTCTACAGGAGCCCCGAAGCAGCAGGTGAATCAGCAGTGGCCGGGGTTCAGCTGCTCAATCACCATTTGTTTCGTTGGTCTCTTGCAGCCCCACGAAAGGGACGCTTTGCTCTCTGGGCCCTTGGCAGACACAGTCCACATGACCAATGAACAAGAGAGGAACAACTGGCCCGGTGACCCTGCAAAGCCTCCCGATGCCCCTGCCCACCGGAAGCCGAACAGCAGAAGCAAACACCCCTCTGGATCCAACGTGAGCTTCAGCAAGGACACGGAGGGTGGAGAGGAGGAGCACACTCAGGTAAGATGCTCTGGAGGGGCACACAGGAGGCTTTTGTGCAGCTGTAAGACAGACTCAAACCCACGGAGTTCCCACTTTTGGGGAATTTCCCTGGGAATTGCCGGCAGGATTCTGGGCTCCAGCTGTACTCTCTGTAACCAACTGGAGTTTCCCTGTCTGTCGGACCAGGCTGCCGGGGACAGCGAGGTGTTGGCTTGCGAGGCTGAAGACTTCGTGTGTGACTACCACCTGGAGATGCTGAGCCTGTCCCAGGACCAGCAGAACCCCTCCTGCATCCAGTTTGACGACTCCAACTGGCACATGCACCTGAACTCCCTGAAGCCCCTGGGCCTGAACGTGCTGCTCAACCTCTGCAACGCCGGCGTGACGGAGCGGCTGTGCCGCTTCTCCGACCACCTGTGCAACATCGCCCTGCAGGAAACACACAACGCTGTGCTGCCTGTCCACGTGCCCTGGGGCCTCTGTGAGCTTGCCAGGCTAATAGGTGAGGAGAAATTGGATGAGCAGACTCAGAGAAATCAGAGCTGTCGATAGACACTTAATCCTTAGAGAGCACAAGAATATTTCCCCGGTCCTGGCTGCTGAGGAGGTGGAAATACAGAGCTGACTCTGCTGTTGTTCAGTTGCCAAAAGAGTCTATTAAAGAGATTGCTTTTGGCAAGTTCTGACATTGTCAACACTATCAAAGGAATGAATGTCATCAAGGATATTGCCAGCCAGCCCTGGCTAGGCTTGGTATTCTTCTGGCCCAAGTCTGCCAGTCTCATCAGGAGACAAAGAATACCTGCTAATGAACAGATATCTGCCCTGTCTTTACTGTAAGGCCTTACAGGGAGTTTGGGAATAAATGATGTGAGGTACCTCAGCTCATTTTATAGGTTGGAGAACTAAGGCAAAGGAGAGATGAGAGGCTAAAGGTAACACTAGGATTAAAATCTGGAAACTTGAACTCACTTCTGTGCCTGCCCTTTGATGTTACAGTTCCTCTCTTCAGTGAACCATGAACGCTGTAATTACTAATAACATCCAGTCCTTCTGAATGTTTTTAATCATAGATCTTGAGCCATCTTTGTGTAGATGCACAGAGAGCACAGCTTACCTACCGGTTCCTGGAGAGATGTCAGAAAGAGCACAGGCAAAGAGAGTGGCACAGAAGCAGCAGAAGGGACCTTTCTTTTGCTTTGGTTGCAGCCTAATTTTTCTCCTCCTTGTGTTCATGTTTCAGGTTTCACACCAGGTGCTAAAGATCTTTTCAAGCAGGAGAACTATTTGGCCTTGTACCGCCTGCCAAGTGATGAGATGGTTAAGGAAACAATCCTGGGGAAGCTTTCATCCATCACCAAGAGGAGACCCCCCCTGAGCCACATGATTAACCTGTTTGTGAAGGACACCACTACCAGTAAGGCTGCCCTTCTCTTTGGGCATCCACTTGGAATGGGGGGATCTTTTCTGAAGAGAGCCTGGAAAATGTCAGGCTGGAAGAGTCTGGAGTCCCTGTGGGGTGATAGCCCTGCCCTGCCCATGGCCAGCACAGATGTGCTCAACAAACCTCAGTGATCAGCTGTGGCATACTGAGGGGGGGAATTCTGCACACCTTTGACTCACTCCAGAACTATAAATAATTTTTTTAAATTATCTCAGCCCATAGTAGGCCTCATTTCTGGGATCAAGTGGCAGAGCAGAGCGAGGTGTGGGTTTATTGGCTTTTTAACAGACTTCATGATGGTGGTGAAACTGATACTGCACAGGGTTGAATATTACTGAGGGTTTTAGTTAGTGATGCTCATCCTTCTGATAATTCATAACCTTTGTGGGTTGTCTAGTGTATTATATTGCATACTCCCATATTGCATACTAATAAGAAATCACATAAATCCCGTGCAAACTCACAGTGACCATGAATACAACACCTGAAGCCAGGCTGACTTCACTCCTTCTGCTCCTTCCTATTCCTGGAGGAATGGCCTGGGATGGAAAGGATGTCCAGCTGGGCACTGTGAGGTCTTAAAGCACCTCAGCAAGATTTAACAGCTTGCCTGTCAGAGCTCTTAGTCTCTTTGTAATTCCTTAAATTGACTGAACTTGGCTCTCTGGAGCTGACATATGTTCAGTATTGAATCCGAAATATGATCATTATGCTGGCCAGAGTTTTACCAGGTTAACTGACTTCTCTTGCCTAATTCTGCTTAATTTTATATCTTTATCTGAGGAGGAGCTTTTTCATTTGTTCTGACTGCTGCTATCTTGCCTTTGTGAACAGGAATTATTTTGATGCTGAGATTCTTAGTGTAGGGAAAAAAACCTGTAATGTTGCCTCATTTCAACTCCTTATCCTCATTTTTAAACGGTTTAGTTTAGAGGCTGGAGCTCAGACGAGTATGTGTGTGACCTGGATTATGCTGTCTAGAGTGAATTCTAAGAGGAATTTTGCCAATTGGGGTTAGTTAACCATTGAACACCTCTCACACAATGGTCTTGTCCCTTGGAGCTTTCTGAAATGTTACCGTTTTAGAGGCAGAAATACTGGATTGTGCAGATAACACTGGCTGAAATCAAATGGCTCTGTTTATGCAGAGGTCAGAGCAGATGATCATAACTAACCTCTCTTGGTACCTTATTTGTGAATAAATCTTTGAATCCACCCACTCCCATGACAGGCTGCAGTCAAAGGGAGATACATAATAAATTCTACTGCTGTAGCAGAAAGAGGAGGCAGATTATCTGTGTGTTCCCTTGCCATTCCACTGAAATATGTGTCTCGCCATCTGGCAGCATTCATCCCAAATCCATAGTAACCACATGGAAATGAGGGGCTCACCGGCATCTCCATCATCTCTGTCTTCCTTTGCACTCCTCAGTTCCTCTTGCCCTGTCTCACTGGCTCAGCTGGAGTGGTTTGGTTCTTCCTAACGAGCCCCAGCAGCCATGAATGGTTGGTCACACTCCCTGCCTTATTCCTGAGTTTTTTTCCCTTTTGCCAGAGAAATCCTGGCCTTCAAGTCCGCCATTTGGGCAGGGAAGAGGCTGAGCTCACTTCACTGGCAGTGAACTCCTTCCAGTTTATAATGTGTGCTGTCACTGCCACTTACTCCTTAGCAGGATTGTGGTGTGGGATGCTGATGGGATTGAATGGGAGGTGGATTGCAGTTGCTGTCAGGCATGAACGTGGGTACATCCATGTGTGTGTGGTCATCTGCAGCCTCTTGCCCTGTGTCCAGGAGATAGGTTTTGCGTGGATCAATAAACATCTCTTGTTCCCTCTTTCCCAGCAAGGACTCTCTGACCTTAGGAGCAAGGTGGGAAGGATTAGGTGTTTATACAATAAAATTACCCAGAGCTCTGCACAACTGCTCCTTTGTGTCCCTGAGACAGGTTCCTTCTTCCACACACAGCCCCTCTTCGTCTTGGGGGTTTGTTATGCTGATAAACTTGGCATGTGATGACTATTTATAGGAGAAAGCAGAGAGCTGCTATGTTTTGGAAAATCCTCTGGTGTTCCTGAAGGTCCCTGCCTGGTTTGTGCAAGTGGATATTCTTGGCTCTTGATTTCAGCCAGTGTGAGCATTAGCAGTCAGCAACAATGCCTGCAAGAAGCCTTTGGGCTCATTTTTCTTGGCAGTCATTGTTTTTTTTCATTAGCTCAGCTTTGAAGCTGTTGGGGGCAAAGTCACAAAGCAGCTGGAGGAGGGAACATAGACAGAGAGGTCTACGTGAGTGCAATGTTAATGTGCTGATGCAAATGAGAGGGAGCAGGAGCTGTGGAGCAGGGGCAGCCCCACACCCTTTAACTTGTGTGCTGTGCCTGGGACCTACATCAGACAAGTGATATCACACACCTTCGAGAAAAACTTTTCAACACTTCTGTCTGCAAGAGGGAACAAGAGACTTAAAGTCTGTGTTAAAGAGTAAAGTAGGGAAAGAAAAAAATCCAGGACAAGCTGTGGTGTCCATTGATTTTTAGTTCTTCCCTAATCACAACGTGAGTTACTTTTTTAGAGTCTGTTACGTTGAACTTTTGACCCATCCTGATTTAACTCGTTTTCACGACCTTTTGTGAAACAGGCTGCTATCTGACAGGTCACATTGTCAAATTATCTTCTGCTACTTGAATGAAAAGTATTCAAGAATAGCTCTTACCCTTTAGTTCTATGTCTGGCCTAAAAATGAATGCACCTTCCAGCGTAGGCTGACTTTGATCCCTGTAAGCTCATCACTGCTACTTGTACTTTCTTCAGAAGAGGCTCACAGGAATATCTCTCCTTCTGCTCTGTTGGATACAGAAGCAAGATATTATCCCACCTTTGTAGGAGCAGGATTGATCCACAGTGTAAGGGGAGAACAGGAAGGGACCACATGGCTCACGTTTTATCACAGCCTTGTTTGAACCCACAGTCAGACAAAGAGCAGCTGCAGGTGTGTCATCATCCTTGAGTTATTTCTCAATGGAGACTGAAGACTTTCAGCAAAGGAAAGGGGATATGTGGGGTGCATCAAAGCAGTTTGTGGGAACAACCACTTTTGACAAATAAGGGAACAGTTGGTGTGAAATCCCTTTCCTGGGAGCCTGTGTGTGTGTGTGATGCTAACTCATTGTTCTCCTGCGCTTCAGGCACTGAGCAGATGTTCTCCCATGGGACAGCTGACATCATCCTCGAGGCCTGCACAGACTTTTGGGATGGCACCGATATCTACCCCCTCTCTGGCTCTGACAGGTGGGCAGCTTCCTCATCTGGTGCATTCAGGAGCTTCAGATAAATTACAGAAGGAACCTGGTCACTCTGCTGAAATTCCCTTTATGGTGTTTGTTTAACTGCTTAAGAGCAGCTTCAAGTAGGTTATGAACATGAACCGTCTCTGCTTATAATTAATTGTTATCATTACAATAATAACAAGCAATTTAAGAGATTAGATAGCAACAAGTACCCAGTTGGACTGTAAGACCAAGCCACGTCTTACTGTATCTGTTAAAGATTTTGGCCTCTTGTGAGTGGATTCTGACTGCACTGTGCAGTAGGGCCATGAATTATAATCAGGCCATGCTGGTGGCAGAGAATTTTTTGTTGTTGTTCAAGACAAGTGTCTTGTCTTAAATTAAATGCAAAATGATCGGTTCTGCCTGAGCCAGTCTACACAATGCACCACACCCTTTGAGTCTTGCTGCAATATCTGATGGTGTCTGCTGCATTTCCATCTATAGGCTGGATCCTGCTAGCAGAGCAAACCAGTGATGTTTAGCTTCACTGACTAGCAGCACACTATTCTAAGTCTGCTTTCCTCAGGTGTAAGAAAACTCCCACTGATCCTTTTTGGAATATTTATCATCTTAGAAGCCAATGAAAAATCCAATGTATAGTCTAGTTTTTTACCTTCGTGTTTTCAGCTTAGAGAAGGAACTGTACCTAATTCTGGTGACTGAATAGTGACCAAATGGAGACTTCACATACAGCTTCTGGGACCCAAACTGCGAAAGGGGATAGGAGAAAACTCTGTTACTGCAACTATCTCTGCCACAGATACTATTGTCAGAGTTGTCAGTTCCCTCCTTGGTGTTTATCTCCCCACAGATAAATTAACTCTGATGAATTAAGTTTCTGCTGTCATGCAGGGAACTTCCTTGGAGTCATCTGGCAGCCATGTAGAGCATATTGCATTAATAAGTGGATGGAAAGAGCACTGTGTTCATACTCAGCAATCTGAGGAGCAAACAGAGAGTTCCCCACTGCCCCAGTGGAATATGGGCTTTTGTTGTCCTGGAGTGCCTGCAGCTTGGAGAATGCAGGAACAGTAGGGAAAGGCTTATTCAGACTCTGACCACTCGTCATGGAAGACATTTCTCGAAATACTCGTAACTGCAGTGGGCACTGTCAGACACGGGGCACATTTGTGCTAATCTTGCCTGCTTTTTCCCTGTCCCACATAGGAAGAAGGTGTTGGATTTCTACCAGCGAGCCTGCCTGTCAGGATACTGCTCTGCCTTTGCCTACAAGCCCATGCATTGTGCCTTGTCCTCCCAGCTCAATGGGAAGTGCATCGAGCTGGTGCAGGTCCCGGGGCAGAGCGCAATCTTCACGAGCTGCGACCTCCCTGGGACAACCCCCATCAAGCAGAGCAGCAGGAGGAATAGCTGGAGCTCAGATGGTATGTGTCCACAGTCCTGTCTATAATAAGGCCTTGCTGCTGGGCCAGGTGCTTGGTCTGATCAGTCTAGAGCTGTAAGAACACTGTTATTCGGAGTAGCAGATGGAAATTGAGAAGGAAGGGTTTCTGAAGTGCATTTCCAGAGGAAGTAGCAATGTAGCAGCTGGTAGGTGTATTTCTAGTTATGTTGTTGAAGCTTGCAGAGAAATTCTTCTTCTTGTGGGAAGTCTGTTTCTAAAGCTGGCTACTGAGAGTCAAGACTTCTGGCTATTTTGATACTTGGTTTGCTATTTATCTAATTTTATGGAAATCACATGTGTTGGGTTTTTCAGAGGAATGAGATGTGTGGTGGTATGTGACTATTCTCCCTTGATGGATTTTATTTCTGTGCTGAAGGAACTGATTCCCACTAGATGAACTGTACATCTCGTCCAGAACAGCAGTGGAAACTGAGAAATAAGCACATACCATTACATAAATCCAGGAGGCTCTTTTGGGAAGCCAGTCTTAATCTCTCTCTGCCTTGGTCCCCCATTCTGTAAACTGTGACTAGTGGGCTTCCCAACAGCTGGGGACAGCTGTGACTGAGTGTTTTCACAACACTCTTCAGTCCCACCTGTGGCAAGTTTTGCAACTGTGTGAAGTGTTTTATTATTTTGTTCCTTGTGCTGCATCCAGCTCCCACTCACCACAGGCCGATGAGGTGATGGTGAAGGAACCCTTCAAAGAGCCTTTGCAGGGTCTCTGGGAGTGTCTGTGGTGTCATTGGAGGCGACACGATCCAGTTCCTTTGCATCAGCCCCTCGTGCTCTGATGCCACTCTGCCTCCACTGGGCTCACCATGTTGTTTAAGCACAGTAGGATGTGTTTAAAAGGCACATGTGAACATTATGCAGCACAAACCCTTTACCTTTCTGCCCCAATTCCTTGTGACTGATATCCCTGTCTTCTGTTTTGTCTCTTTCCTTTCCACGCTTGCTGTCTCCCACTTGTACTCTTGGTCACGTATGTGGGGATGTCCTGAAACTGCTTCTGTGACTGGGTATGCTGGGACAAATGGATGTCTCTGTGCTCCTGTGTGTGTGTTCTGCACCCTCCTGTGTGTCTGGGTACTGTGCCCTTGGTGGCCTCCCCACCACACGTTCTTTGTCTGACGCACATGTGGCCCCTCATGTCTCAATGTGATTGTTTGCATGCCTGAAGAAGGGATTGGGGAAGTGATGGAGAAGGAAGACTGTATCCAGGCTCTGAGTGGACAGATCTTCATGGGAATGGTCTCATCTCAGTATCAGGCCCGTCTTGACATTGTCCGCCTCATTGATGGATTGGTCAATGCCTGCATCCGTTTTGTCTACTTCTCCCTGGAGGATGAGCTCAAAAGCAAGGTAAGCTGTCTCTGCTGAACCCCCTGAACTTACATGGCCCCTGGTTGTCTGACTGGAGAGTTTAGCTCCGGTGCAACCTAAGGTTAATCAGATTCAGCTCGCTAATGAGTCCAGAAGGTACCTGGGCTCCAGTCTGGCATCGATCTGCAGTACCCTGGCTTGGGCAGCCACACTAAAACCCTTTTGTCTGCTCTCCCACAGGTGTTTGCTGAGAAGATGGGTCTGGAGACCGGCTGGAATTGCCACATATCCTTAACACCCAACGGTGACGTGCCTGGCTCGGAAATCCCTCCCTCCAGCCCCAGCCACGCTGGCTCCCTGCACGACGACCTGCACCAGGGTGAGGACTCCTGGGCCACTTGGAATTCCATGTGTTTCCTGGAGGGTTCTTTTAAACCCATTCATAGGTTCCTGTGTCCACACCAGACACCTGATCCTTCAGAGCTTTGAGCACCAAACTGGAAGGGCCTGAGGTGTGCGTGTGAGCAAGAGCTCTTCACATTTATAGCCTTTCTACCCAGCCAGTACCACGCTTGTTGGAAACAGACATCCAGCTGTGCACCAGCTGCCATGGATTTACAACTGCTCATCAGGGCTTTTGGTTCTTTTTGGGGCCCTGGTCAAGCCACTGAGGGTCTCTTGCCTGGGCATTACTTTTTTTTCTTACTTCAGGTGGGATTTCTGCACTCTCTTCCCCTAGAAGGACAGCAGAACAGATAAACTATCATGTCTTAAAAGAGCAGAGACTAGGCTCACATATCTACCTCTGAACAGATTAGTCATCTAAAAATACGGCATTTTAGATGACTGAGTGGGAGATCTAAGTGTTGCTAACCTAGAAAATCAGGCCTCACGTTTCCTGGCTCCTGCAGTGCCATGTGAATATACCATGTGGGTGGCACAGGGGTGGCAGAGGCCCCTTGGTGCTGATTGTTTGTGCTGCTTCTCTCTGTTCCAGTGTCTCGAGATGATGTGGAGGGGCTTCTGCTCATGGAAGAGGAAGGGCACTCGGATCTCATCAGCTTTCAGCCAACAGACAGTGACATCCCCAGCTTCCTGGAGGACTGCAACAGGGTGAGGGCCCTTTCCCTGTGCACCTTGTGCTGTTGTCATGGTCAGCACTATCACCTCATTACTCCCAAAGGGAATTAATTCTTCAAAGCACACAGACAAGGTTTACACTGGGACTCCTGATTGCCCCCAGCCTCTTCCAGCTTGGTATCTAGATCCTGGGAAGTTTGGGATTCTCTCCCCTTGTCACTTCTATTGAACAGCTCTTTGCTTTGGAATTTAGGAATGGAGATTTCCACACACAGAGTAGCCTTGAGAGCTGCATCTCATTTCCTCTGGGTCCCCTTCCCGTGGGCTGGGCTGGGCAGGGAGTGGGAACATCCCCACATTCCATGCAGACAAAGGAAACTGTCTCTCCTCCAGCTGTGAGCTGTGAGCCATGGGCTGGTGCTGCCCAGTCAGTGTGGGACAAGCTCTTCCTTCCTCCTAAAAACCTCATGCTCAGCAGAGGTTAGAGGAATATCAGAGATAGATACAAGTTAAAAAAAATACTAAAATCCATTAGGTCTGATTTCAGAAGGCAAGAACCCTTCTTCCCTTGCTGTAATGATGATGTGGCTGCAATTGAAATAGATCTTGTTGCTGGGAGACAGCACATGTGTCTGACTGATTTCTCCACACAGGTAAAAAGCCCTTAGAAATCCTTGAGCACAGGTTTATCACACTGGCCTTACAAACCCTGAGAGCCAACACAAGCAGCTTGCATTTTAGTGTAGAACTTTTATCAAAAAATCTTAGACAGTGGTTTGGGACAGACAGTTCTATCTACAGGGACATGAATTTGCAACTAGCAGTTGCATAATTCTAGGAATCATCACTCTCATTTCAGCAGTTCACTCTGAGGTGCCTCTCTCTCTCACACACACACCCCCACACACACACCCACACTACTGCCCTGCTTAATCTCTCCTTTCTCTTTTCCAGGCCAAACTCCCTCGGGGGATCCACCAGGTGAGACCCCACCTGCAGAACATTGACAACGTGCCTTTGCTGGTGCCCCTGTTCACAGACTGCACCCCGGAGAGTAAGTGGCACAGAGTGTGAGTCTGTCCTGCTGCTGCCCACAAACACCTTCCCCAGCTATTTGCTCTGGCTCATCCCAGCATGGACACGGGTGAAGGGAAGGGGATACATTCCAGAAGTCTGGAAGGGCATATGGGTATTAATGAGCTTCTTGCTACCTGTGGGAAGCCAGGTGTTACCTTCATTTTAGTTCCCATCCACTGAACTGGGCTGGGAACCACTCCTTTCAATTTGCATTCGTAAGAGACACAAAAGCAAACATCCCAAATGCTGCTGCCTTTTATTAAATAAGTGTTATCAGTGCACCAGGAGACTTTGATCCCTGCTCACAACCCTCGCTGCCTTATATAACTCAGAAATAACCCAGAAGAATTTTCCCCTGGCAGTTGCTGTTAACACCTTCTGCAAAGCAGCAGAAAAAAAAAACGGAAAGGGCAAAATTTCTTTCCCTGTCTGAGGCACTACTCTGTCTAAGAAAGGGGCTGAGTCCTCTGCTGGCTGACACCTGCCCAGGCTCCAGCAAAAGTGTGAAGCATCGTTGTGATTTGGCATTTTAGAACCTCTGGCCACAGTTTACAGTGTGCCAGTCACAGCCCACTTTGTGCCCAAATTTCCTCTGTCTTTAACAGAAGGGGCAGTTCCCCACCCAACCCCTCCCTGGGCTGCAGACCTGTGTGCACCAGGCATTTTAGAGAAGTTGTTTACACAGGAATCTGTGGAGGGGGGGCTTGAGGTTTTCTTGCCTGGAGCATTCCAGAAAATTCATATATACACACAGAGCACTGTGCATGGAGCTACAGAATAAAAATCAGATCAAACAGCAGCTTTGATTTAGAGGCCTTGGGGGATGTTGATAAACATATTGATGAAGGCTAGAGGTGGTGGTGGGTGGGAGTGCACGAACAGGGACTGGCTCTGAGGATGGCTAAGTGTGGCACTGCTTTTGGAGCAGTTTGCTATACTCCCTGTGTTCCTTTAGACTTGGAAGAACAGTAGTGATGTGCTGCTGAGCAGGGTTTGAAATGGTGTATCTGTGTTAGATTTATTTCGTTTCTGCTGTTTTCTAACAGTAGCATTTGATGTTGAAGGTGTCTTATGCACCAGCTCTGGTCTGAAACAAATGTGCTGGAGAGGCAAATCTCTGGGTCACAGCTTTGTTCCTGCAGTGGCAGATACACAGAGCACCTGGTCTGCAGTTAATTACCTATCTAATTGTGTGCTTTGTGGATCTCACTGTACATGACTGGCAGTTGGGGCAATTTTAAAAGATCCGACTGCCTGTTACCCAGGCTGGAAGGAGCGTGTGAAACACTTCATCTCTGTGTGCATAATGACGTAACACCCTGTTCCTCCTTCTGTCCCTTTCAGCCATGTGTGAGATGATCAAGATCATGCAGGAGTATGGGGAGGTGACTTGCTGTCTGGGCAGCTCTGCCAACCTTCGGAACAGCTGCCTCTTCCTGCAGAGTGACATCAGGTGGGGCAGGATCTGTTCCTCCTCCGGCTGCCTTTGCCTTGATCTTAGTGAGTGCCCAGCCCTGGGTCACACCTCACCTGTGGGTTGTGCAGGGGGATCCTCACAATTGCTCTGTCCATTGTTAGCTGCATTTTGTCTCCATAAGGGAGGTCTGGGGGTCTTGGGTGGGATGACTGCATAGGTCCCTTGATGCACAGAGAGATTTTTGTCTGTCTTTAAAAGGAAGATACTCTCTTGCATGCTGGTCTGTTATATCCTAACTGGCCTAACAGATGCTTCCCATTGGCTGGAAGAATGGAAATACCCCTCTGGATCAGCCAATTTGTTGACCTTGTGGCACAAATCCAAATATGTTGATTATTTCTTAAAGAATAACTGAAAGTTTTGGGACACTGATCCTAAATTAACGTCATAGCTCCAGGCTTCTCTACAAGCAAAGTAGGCAGAGGTAGCTTGGCACAACACAGTTTGACTCTGCAAGCTGGACTGCAGTGGAAGATGGATTCTGCTCTGGGATGAGGACTCTCGCTGATGCTCCTGTGTTGTCCTTGCAGTATAGCACTGGACCCTCTCTACCCATCTCGCTGCTCCTGGGAGACCTTTGGCTACGCCACCAGCACCACCCTGAGCAATGTCTCTGATGAGCTCACCCCCCTGCAGCTCTCAGGGCAGCTCAACAGCCTGCCCTGCTCCATGGCCTTCCGCCAAGAGGAGAGTACCAGCATCATCCGGCTGATAGAGCAGGTGAGCCAGGCACATCCCCCCTCCAGGACCCCCAGGGAGCAGAGCCCAGGAGCTGACATGAGCATTCTCCTTGAGGTGCCCATGGAAAGCTTCCAGCACTAGGTTTTCTTGTGTCTCCTGTCCTTTGCTCGGGAAGCACAACAGAGAGAGAGCCTTCCTGCCTGGCTGCCTGCCTTGGGAATGGTGCCTTGTGGCAAAAGAACATGATTATTGTTCATCTGGATGGAATATAATCTTGCAGAGATCCCTAGAGAGCCAGTCAACAGTGCATGATTAGGGAGAAGTGTAACCCCCAGAAAAGCCAGGAGTTTAAACAAATTTAGCCCTTGGCAAAATTCTGCCTTTTTCTTCACACCCTCTACATCCAGGCAAGAAACCTTCCCTTTTTGCTTTCGATGTGTCCAGATGCTCTCCCCTCCCACTTCCCCTGCGGGCCACATGTCCTGCCCCTGCCTGCCAATAACTGCTCCTGGCTGACAGCTGCTCCAGCACTCGGAGGGCTCTGAGGGCTTGTTCTTCCTTCCAGGCCAGGCACGCGACGTACGGGATCCGCAAATGTTTCCTCTTCCTGCTGCAGTGCCAGCTGACCTTGGTTGTCATTCAGGTGAGTCCGGGCCTGGCTGGGGACAGCAATCAGCCTGCCCCTTCCCCCCTGACCCTCACACAGGGGTTTCTTTTCAAACCTTTTTTCCCCTGGAGAAAAGCACCCCCCTGCAGCACCTGCAACGTGTGCAGGGGCTGTGCAGTGGCAGCCCAGTTATCAGCTCATCCAGTGTTTTGGGGGAAGTCATCAGCATCTTGGGTGACAAGTCTCTCCTAGCACTGCTCTTACTCTTCACTCTGAATTGTTTCTGTCCAGTTCCTCTCCTGCCTGGTGCAGCTGCCCCCCATCCTCAGCACCACAGACATCGTGTGGCTCTCCTGTTTCTGCTACCCACTGCTCAGGTGAGTCTGTCAGGGTGGAACCTCCTCCCTCCCTCCCTCCCACCCACCCTCAGGATGCACAGACCAGTCCCTCAGCCTCACTTTGTCCACGTTAAAAGAAAGCTGACCCCACCCACAGCATGCCAAGAAGGCTGCAAGGATTATTCCAAGCACCTGCTTTGACAAGGTGCTCGGAAACAGCAGCAGGAGCATTTGTGTACTGCTGTGTTAACCCTGAGAGCTGTCTGAGAGCTGCTGTTATCTTGGGGCTTGAAACTCCAGCTGAAAAATCATGTAAACCTTCACTGGTTGGAATATGATGGAGAGCCTGGGGTGTCAGGTGGAGGACAAGGTACCACGGGTGGATTTTTCCCCATCACACATTTGGAGGTCACCTCTCTCCCTGTCCGCACCTACCATGAGTAACACCTTTTACAGCATATGCTTAAGGCAGTGGCCAGATAAATGCTAATGGTTCAAGAAGTCTGAGGAGGTTATTTGGGTTCAAATTATAGATACAGGCAAAAATGCAGTAGTTCTGGTGCCTGAACATGTTACTGAAAGACTAACTTCCCTTTCTCCAGCATCTCGCTCCTGGGCAAGCCTCCCCACAGCTCCATCATGACCATGGCAACAGGAAAAAACTTGACTTCCATCCCCAAGAAGGTAGGTGGCCCATCAGATTTTAGTTGTTCACACATTTTTCTGTTCTGTTTTGTCCCTGTGTCGATGCATAACTGAGGCCCTGTCCCTTTCCAGCTCACTTGGTAAATTGATCCGTGGCATTCCTTAGTGCCAGCATGCCCACAGGGCAGATCCACAGTGCAGCATCTCATCTGAACTACAGCTTGTCTTTTGCAGCCACCGATTCTCTGATGGTTCACGGAGAGGAGGTTGTGCCAGTGACATGCCCATGTCATCCTCCTTCCTCTCCCTTATTCACAGACTCAGCACTACTTCCTGTTCTGCTTCCTGCTGAAATTCAGCCTGACCATCTGCTCCTGCCTCATCTGCTTTGGGTTCACACTGCATGAGTCCTGCAAAGAGGTGAATGCCACCAGCCTCAATCTCACAGCCTGCTCCTCCATCATGCTGCACAGGTGAGGAACTGAGCCTGGCACACACCCTTCTTACTCCTGCCCTTCCAGGTAGATTCCCCTCTAACAAAAGCTTCAGCTTCTTCCCAGCTAAAATGGCTCCACAGAGGGCTGGGTGCTCTCCCTACAGCCTTGACAATTGCATTGCTCACTGTCACCTCCTGGTAGCAGGACAGCCTGACAGAGCTCACACTTAGTTCTCTCAGCTGGTAGAGAAGGACGTGGTGGGAAGAGGTCAGACAGTAAATCCCCACTGTTGACTTCTTTCCTGTGTCCTCTCATTTACCAGCAATGCCGATGGTGCTCCTGACTGGTTTGGGACATTTTCCAACGCTCTTCTTGTAGCCCAGAAGCTCGCAGCTGGCCTGATTGTTTTGCACACAGGTAAATCCTAATTCCCAGAACACCATTTCCTACTCTGGGGGAAAACTCACATCCTTTGCCTCCTTCTTTGCCCTTCATATGAGAGCACAAACTCCCTGGTAGAAGCAGACACTGCAGTGGCCCCTCAGCACAGACCCTGTCTCACTAAACGTTGCCCTGACAGATTAAAAACAACACACTCAGAGCTGATTCTGTTACCTACCAGCCTGCTGAAGTGCTGATTCCTTTCCAGTCTCACCAGAAGAACAGCATCCCTTTTTGCCTTCTTGCAAACCAGTAGCAGCACCTGTAGCTCTCCAAAAACATTCCTTACCTCAGAAGTCCTTATATCCCTGCTGCCATTTTGGGAAGCACCCCATTTCCATCCCCTAAAGAGCACTGGTGCAGCTGTGACTGTCTGGGAGCTGCAAGCCTTTTTAAACCCTCTGGAGGGGTGTGGAGCCATGTCCTGTCTGATCCTCATCACATGCACACCATGGCCTGGCAGAGTAGGTCCAACTGCTCCCTGACAACCCTAAAGGGTCTCTGCTCCCTGTCCATGTCCTGTGGTGTTGGGCAGAGCACTGGGTGTTGAGATGTGCAGGTGTCCAGGTGAGCAGAAATGCCTCCTGATTTGAGAGGAAGGCCAACTTTGGAGAGAGAGGGAGTGTGCAGTGCTGTTTTATGTCCCTCAGACCACTGAGGCAAGGCAGGGCTGTTAGCCTGGCAGCAGTTTAAACGCTCAGTTCTCTGCAGACAGCTCTGCATCTCTGGCTGAATGTGTCTCTGAGCTGGAGCTTTCCTCTGGTGCAGACCCAGAAACGAGGGCACACCCACCCCTGCCCTGCTCACCTGGTCTGGGCCTTTGCCTGCTCTGTTTTACCTCGCTGGGCTGTGAACCAACCTCACAGTGCAGCACAACCACTGCTCCCCCCTCCCACACATCTGGGGGCTTGGAATTGCTGTGGGGGGCCTTGAACGAAAGGGCCATACGCCCCACACCCCTTTGGAGTTAGAGCTGTGGGTGTGCACTGCGAAGTGTCTGTGTGTGATGCCAGTAACCCCTTTCCCCTGCAGTGTTCATATCCATCACCCACGTCCATCGCACCAAGCCCCTGTGGAAGAAGAGCCCCCTCTCCAACCGCTGGTGGACGCTCACTGTGGCTGTTGTGTGAGTATCCCCAGGCCCTGGGGAGGCATTCCAGAATGCTGGAGCAAGCAGGGCTCTAGGCCAGCTCCTCCACCACTTTGCTGGTGCTGGAGAGACAGCAGTTGATCTCCGCTGCTGAACTGGTGAAGAGTCTCTGTTGTGTTTCAGCCTGAACCCTGATCTGCACATCCTGGGAAGCTTGTGAGCTCTGCTGAGGTTTGTTGTGTCTGTTTTTGATCTTAGATTGCTGGGGCAAGTGGCACAGACTGTGCTGGACCTGAAACTCTGGGAAAACCTCGATTCTTCTTTGACCTTTAACCACGTTTCCATCTCCCCCGTCTCATGGCTCCTGGGTTTTCTTTCCTTGGTCCTTGTGGTTATCATCAATGAGATTGTCAAGCTGCACGAGATCAGGTATGGGGGTAGTTCAGGAGGATGAGGAGAAAGGGCTGGAGCGTCACTCCAGCCTGGCCTTGAGCTGCAAAAAAAATCATGCCCAGGGAACAGGGTGGGGAACAAAAAGGAAAAGATGATTGCATCGTGTGAATCACCTGGTTATTGTGTTCTACCTCTCAGGGAGGAAGCACAGGGGAGGAAAGAGGGTCAGGGAAGGGCAGTGGCAGTGATTGGGAGCAGGAAGGGAGATCAAAATTTCCTTATCTCAAACCAAAGAGGGGGAGACAGCCAAGGGCAATGAAATACCAGTGTAGAACTGGAGGGGGCTGTTCTCTCCATCTTGTCCCACGAGGACAGAGAGGCACTGAATCCCAGCAGAGGAAACTTCACACAGAGCCTGTGCTGTGGCACTCGTTTTCACGGGAAGTGGCTGAAGCCAAGAATGAGTAGCAGGCAGTGAGTGGCTGTTCTCCCCAGCACAGGGAGCAGCCAGGGCTGGGAGTTAACGCTGATGAACATTGACTCAGGAAATGGGCTGGTGAGGAAAAGCAGCAGGGATTACAGGGAACCCTGGTGGAGGCAGAGACACCACCTCTGTTCCCAGGGAAGGGTTTCTGAACCTTTCTGTGCTGTGTCAGGTGTCCCTGGAGATGGGATTTGGCTGGATGGGGCTGGACTGAGACCATGGGTTGCCTTCTGGATGTGATTTCCCTCCCAGGCTACCACAGGGCCCAAGCCAGTGCTTCCCTGCTTCATGGGGCTGGCAGCTCAGGAGTGGCAGTGGGACAGCCTTGCTTACCCTTCCACCTGCTGACTCTCTTCTTTCTTCTGCCCTCTCCAGGGTCCGGGTCCGTTACCAAAAGAGGCAGAAGTTGCAGTTTGAAACCAAGCTGGGGATGAATTCGCCATTTTAAATGCTCCCAGCTCAAGTTCCCTGGAGCCAGGGCCAAACAGCCACACCCTGCCCCAGGAGAGAGGCTGCACCAAAGGCTCAGGGAGTTTTCCCTCTCACATGCGAACCAGACAGCCTCCTGGCCAAAGTACATCAGCACCTTGCCGGGCCCCAGGCAGGGATCCCCCCCCAGGTATGCTGCCCCTCCCCAGCCTGCCAGGGTACACTCACAGGAGCCTGCAAGCTCTGGTGCCTCTTCAGGCTGCTCTTCCTTTCTTTATTTATTACTAGAGGTGTTTGTTAGTATCATGGTGATGCTGAAATGAAGCGACTCCTTTCCTCTGTGGGAGCAGATGGATCTCCTGGGCCTGGCAGGAGAATCTGGGGCCAGCAGGGGAGATGGAGGTCTGCTGAAACAAGAGACCTCTGTTGAAACCCGTTTTGTTTTCCCCTCTCTGCCTGCTCTCCCCCTGTGCATGCCTGTGCATGCCCTCACCCGCCTCCCCGTCCCTGTGTCCTGGGGCAAAGGAGCCATCCCTCTTGCAGTTCCAGGAGTGCTGGGAGCCAGGTGGGGACTGGAGCTTGCATTCCTGAGGGGACAATGGGAAGGGTCTCTGGCAGGGCGCTGAGACAGCCAAGCTGGGCCAGGCCTGCCCTCTAGTGTTGTTGCTGAGTCCTTATCCCGGCTGTTGAGTGCTTCAGAAGAGGGATGAGACACGGCTTTAGGAAAAGCTGCCCCCGTTTGACCGTCTGATCTGGTGCAGGGGGAGTCAGGAGGGCAGCTCTGCCTGCCTGCAGGGAGCCAGCACGGCTCAGCTTCCTCCAGCCCTGTTGAACGAGCTTTTATCTGCTTTACCAACCCCAGAGAGGTTTATAACCGTTCTCCTGTTTGTGATCCCAACTGCTGTTCTGCTTGAGTAACACAACACGCCTGCTTGAGAGAGCCACAGCCAGAGATAAACCCTGAGCCCCTGCATATCCCACCCTGGAGGGAGGGGGATGTCCTTCCTGGCAGGATATCTGCAACTCCCAGTTGTGACTCAGACAGAGCTGGTGGATGGCTCCTTCCCCAATCTCAGGATTGTGCTGCATCCAGTATGTTCTCTCCAAGGCACAGGGAACCCCCCTTGTCATGTCTTTCTGTGACAGTGCTGGCAAGTCTCTCCCCTCCATGCTAATGCCTTCACACAGAATCACAGAATGGTTTGGGTTGGAAGGGACTTTAAGGCTCATCTAGTTCCACCCCCCTGCCCGTGGGCTGGGATGTCACAGACCAGGTTGCTCCAAGCCCTGTCCAGCCTGGCCTTGGACACTTCCAGGGATGGGGCACCCACAGCCTCCCCAGGTGACATTTGTTCCCTGTTTTTCTGGAGGTCTCTTGGTTTGTCTGGGGGGTCCCTCCCCTGAGGGTTTGCTGCAAACCAGGATCTGCCCCAGTGCAGCAGCCCTGCTCTGAGCTCTGAGCAGAACCCAGCTGTACTGGGAGCACTGGTGCTGTTGTGGGCTGAAGGACAAGAGCCACACAGGAGCACACAGGTTTGGCTGCCGGAGTATTTGCAGCTCATGGAGATGTCGTCTCCAGTTCTAAAAACTGATCAAACCTGGTAAATCCTGGCCCTGTTTTTGTTCTAATATTAACACTACAATTGGCTGTTACTTCCCTGTTGGTACCAGGGGCTAATGAATGGTAGCTGGTCCCTCCTGGGCAGGCAGGGAGCTCGCTGGAACCCCCACACCCTGCCTTGCTGCTCCACCTTGTCTTCCTCACTTTTCAGCATAACCAGAGAGCACAGACACAGCTTTGTGTCTCTAAGCAATACCCTCTCCCCACTGTGGGTCTGGTAGGGGAGCAAAGCTGGGTACAGGCAGTCCCTGAGCTCTGGGGACACAGGGGGGCCGCTGGAGAGGAGCAGCTGGGGGTGTTCTGAGGCCTGGACCCCATTCCTGCAGCTGGAGAGTGGATGTGGAGATCCCACGCCAGCAGGATTGCACGGGATTGGGAGCCAGCAGCTCGCTGGCAGCTCCTCCTGCAGCCTGGGTCTGAACTCTGCCCTCACTCCCCTGGCACTTGCAGAGCCTCCTGGCTCAGGGAGAACAAGCTGCACCTTTCCCAGCCTCAACCCACTAAATGCCAGCTCCAGGTCTGTTACACCTGGCACCTGAGAAATCAGCTTTTCCTTCCTGAGGCCAGGGTTGGATCACAGGCGTGGTGCGATCTCCTCTGAGCTGGAGGCAGAGGCAGCCCAGAGCTGCTCACTGCTGTCCCTGCAGAGCAGCTTTCCCCCCTCCCAGACCTCAGCTCTTGCCCTGTGCCAGAACTGTCTTGGGTGATAAAAGGCAGCAGATTCCAGGGCTTCCTGCTGGCCACACCTTCTTCTTAGAGGAGGCACCTCCAAGGTTTCCTTCTCTGGGGTGATCACAAATGTTTATTTTCCTGCATCCTCCTTCCCCTGCTAGACTTGGAGGGAGCTGAGGCGTACGAATGGAGCCTTTTGGATGGTCTTGCCAATGCCTCCCTTCCCTCAGCCACCTTGAGGTGTCCAAGGGTCAGGGTGCATGGCTTCAGAGGGAAATTTCCTACATCAAGATGTTTTTAAATGCTGTATATTTTATATTAAATTTTTTGGGATGTATGTAAAAATATTTCATTTGTATTAAAACTTGTAAAATTGTATTAAAAAAAAAAATATTAACAAACCCAGACCCACACGCATCCAGTATATATGAATGGCAATAAATGATTGTCTTGGATAACACACCCAGTGGGAGTGGGAACAAGTTTGCACCAGCAGAGGAAGGAGGTAAAAATGTGTGTGGCTGCTCAGGTCACAGGGTGTGAGTTTCCTGACTCGCCTGTTGTAGGGACACAGCCCAAGTGCTTGGATGCTCCTGGGACCCAATCCTGGCCTTCTTCCCACTTCCTTCCAAATCTGTGCAGCTCTGAATGCCTCTTCCTACAGAATAAGTTTGCTCACCTGGTGGTTTCGTGGATCCCAGGCACTGCTTCAGTCGAAGCTGGTGGCATGGTTTGAATCCCTCAGGATGGATGAAAGGTCAGGGTGAGCTGGAACAGGCACTGGGAGCACTGGAGACAAGAAATGTGGTGGGATGAGGAGGCCTGGGATGCTTGTCTTGAGCAAAGCAGGACCTGGGGTCTCTGTCACCACACTTGACCCTTCAGGAGGAGGAGGAGGAGGAGGAGGAGGAGGAGGAATGCTCTGCCTGGCCAGTGGAGGGAGCTGAGGTGTCGGGATGTGCCCAGAGCTGGGCAGTGGGACACTGGGAGGTGGTGCTGGTCCCCAGCGCTCTCACCACGTCACTGCCATGGTGCTGAAACTCAAACTGAACGTTAACCTTGCAAGATTCACCAGGGGAGATTATCTGAGGAAACCCTGGAGCACTCAAGGGACAGGATAAAGCTGATCCTCCACAAACTTCAAACAGTAGGCAACAAGCTTGTGCAATTTGACACAAAGGACACAACTAGGCAAAACTATCAAAAGGGTAAAATATGCCCCACTGTTTAATAGAATTTAGTCTTAATGGATGTTAGTGGAAAACAAAACACATGATTAACACAAACAGAGCAGATGGTTTAAAATCTGTTGTCAGTCTGGTGATTACATGGGCTATTTTTTCCCCTCACTGTCTCGCTGCACGGAGCAGGTGCAGCTGGGGTCAGTTAGTCCCAGTTGCAGTGTACATAACTTACACACCATACAGTAGCTTCAAAATAGAGATCTAGAGCTTTTAAAAAATAGGCATTCTTCTGCAAAATCGAATGTTTAATTCCCTTATTGACAATGAGAGCAGCGTTGTGCTGCCCTCAGGTGGCTCAGACAGCGGCAGCTCCACCCCAGTGTCCTCTTATCCCTGACCCTACAGTCCAAGACTTGCAGTTCTGGTTAGTAAATATATATAATAAATCACATTTAAAATATATACATTGGCCTTTTTTTAAAAAAAAAAAAAAACACATTTACAGTTTATCAACATTGGGAAAAAAAATAACTGGGTTTGTCCCAGGTTGACTCGTGAGAGTAAAAATCAGTTTTAAAAGGTTTCTGTGAACCTCTTGATAAAGTGCCACTGGTTGTAGCTATTTGAAAACATCACGTCCATGATGTGGCACTTGCCTGTCAGACATGGGCAGTGGATACACTCAGAGTGGGACAGAAATCAGAGTGACCGATTCATCAGGAGAGAAGTGTCTTAGCGCCTCACAGTGACCTCAAGTCCCAGCCAACAATAGGATTTTAGGGTTTTTCAGGACTCTTTTGTCTTTGCTTTTCAGCCCAGAAGCCAGGTTGGCACCTCTCACCTGCCCAGCCCACAGCACAACTGGAGCAGAGACCCTTGGGATTGTCCAGCTGGGCTTTGCTCCTCTTCCCGTGCAACAGGACAAGGGGCTGCAACCAGTCCAGTTCAAGCCCCAAACTCCCAGAAGGATTGGGAAGCAACTTCCTCCTCAGCCCCTTTCCAGTTTGGCTTTGCATTGGTGACTTTTTTTTAAGAAGGAAGGGAATACGTGGGTTTTTCTTTCCCTTTGTTTGGCTTTTTTTTTTTTTTTTTTTGGTAGCAAATGGCACTTCAGCACAATCTTCCAGTTCCCTTCTGGTGCTCCGATGCTTTCATTTGCTTGGCATGCCGGGCGCGAGCCAAGTTCGGGGCTCTTGGACATATTTAGCCATGCACTACTGAGCAGATCCTCAGCGAGAGAGAGAAATCTGTCTGGGAGCGATGCAGCCGCTTCCTCCCGCCCGGGCGCAGGGAGCTGTCGCTGCCGCCGCGGGCTGTGGCTGCATCCAGCGCACGGGAGCTGCTTCCCGAGCCGCGTTCCCGCAGTGCACGCGGGGTCAGCTCTCCCGCTGGGCCCCGGGGAAGGATCGCGCCGAGCCCCGGTCGCTGCTACTGTCCAACAACGCTGGCGGCGGCCTTTGTGCCAGCAGCTCCCTGCGGGGGGAGAAAGGGAGGGACCACGACTGGGAAAATGGGCCGTTTTCTCCCAAAGAAAAGGGATAGGGGAGGGGGGGAAAGAAAAATTAAAAAACATCAACACGCTGCTACTTCACTCTGGAAGGACCAGAGTGGGGGTTTGTGTAGGCACGGTGTTGGCAGAGGGCGAACTCCATTGAGCAGCATGATCCAGACGGACTGGCCCGAATTCCCAGGCCTTTGGTGCTGCCATCACCATCCTCATCGCTCCGGGAAGGGGCAGGAAGGCCCCCCATGTCCGGCAGGGCCATGGTAGAACATCCGCTGCTTTGGAGGCTGTGCCAGCCCCATCCCGAGGGGGTTGTGGGTCCCACCGGAGGGATTTCGATCCGCTTGGATTACACGCTGCCTTACGCTGATGCATTTGGAAAAGCGGCAAATAAAGCAGAAAGGTTCCTTCTCGCTCCACAAGCTGCCAAATTGCGACAAGCCCTGTCTTCTTTTAGCTGCTGTCAGGCCTTGCCGGGGCTGGGACCGCTCAGTAAATTGCCGGCTCGGTGGCGGCTGCCCAGGGAGGTCTCTCCTGTGACACATTGTTGGCAGGGGATAAATAATAAGAGGCAAGACTCGACAATGCAGTGGGGAAAGAGAAAGGTCCCTTGTGGAGGCTCCTCAGCTCTGTGCAAGGGAGCGAGGGCTTCTCCGTGGCCTCCAGGACAGCATGTGCAGCCCCCTCTGGGCTCTCCTTCTGCTTCCAGTCTGGTGGGAATTGCTTGACCCCCTCGGAAACCGGCCCGTGGCCGCGCTGGCACGTGTGACACGGAGCCAGGGGTGAGCAAGGAGGGCAGCTGCGTTCCCAGCCGCAGTGCAAAGTGCAGGGAGGGAGCGGCTGGAGAGACCTGGAGGCGCCACTGGGTGCCAGATCCGCTCCTCCCCACAGTGAGGGGCACTGGCAGAGCAGCCGGAGGTGAGGAGGGGAAGGAGGGAGCAAAGCCTCAGTCCAGCATCGCGTCCAGCTGGTCAGCCAGGTCGTCGAACATGTTGCTGATGTCTTCCAGGATGTTCTTGGCCGAGTGCACGGCGCCAGGGTGGCTGGGGAGGAAAGGGAGAGAGTCAAAGCACCACCCAAAGGCTGCAGGTGCTGATGGGGAAGGTTTGGCCAGGCTGGACCCGACCAGTGGCAGCTGGAGCTCAGCACACAGCTGGGCTCAAACACAGGGGACCTGTGAGGCACAGGCAGTGCCCGTGCACAGCTTCCCAATCCCACCTCGGGGGGCCCAGGATTTCTCTCACCTCTCCGCCTCCTCCACCGTGATCTTCTTCTCAGCTGCCTGCAGCGTGGCTGCCAGCGTGGAGTTGGTCTGCTCCAGCCGCTGCTGGGCCAGGGTGGCCCCTGGGGCAGCTGCCAAAGGCTTTGCCAACACCTTGCAGCCCGTGTCCAGCGTCAGTGAGCTGGGACCGGGCAGGGACCCGATCACATCTGGCACTGCCTCGGTGGCCGCCCAGGGAGCAACAGTGTGGCGGGAGGGCTGCAGGACCTGCTGGTAGATGGTCTTGGGCCCAGAGAAGACGAGCTTGGTGGATGCCACAGAGGTGTGCTTGGTGGGGACATCTGCAAAGGAAGGGGACTCGTGGCATGTGGTGGCACAGGTCCTCCTCGCCTCCCATACCAACACGGGAGGGAGACCCAGGCCCTGCCACCACCCTGGGGACACCCCCACAATCTCCCTTACCTGGAGTGGGTGTCCTCACCACAGCCGTGCCGACCAGCTCCGTGGGGCTGGGGGCTTTGGTGGGGCTCGGTGCCTTCTTCATCCCTTTCTCCAGCGACAAGATGCTTTTCTCTATCTCGGCAATCCTGAACTCCACACTGTCATCGTCGAAGGCATCCCCGGCCAGCCCAGCCGGTGGTGCCTGTGCTGGTGTGGCAGGGCCTGCGATGCTCACAGCTTGTGCCTGGGCATACTGGGGTGCAGGGGTGCCCCCTGGCTCTGCCTGCCCGGCCATGCTGAACGCCTTCAGCACCGCCTGCAGCGGCTCCCGCTCCCTGAAGCGCGGCCGGCGCTTCACCGTGTCCGACTCGGTGAGGTTGAACTCCAGCACGGGCGGCTCCTTGGTGACAGCAGGAGCTGCCGGCTCCTTCCCAGCAGAGCAGGGGGGCTCTGCTGGCTGGGAACTAGGCTCTGTGTCCAGCACAGCCGTGTCAGCCTTGGGATGCCCAGCGGGCTTCGGCCGCTGTTTGATGGTTAAGTTGCCTTCTTCTGCGAAGGGGATGCACTCACTGGAGCTGTTCTGGGAGGACGAGGAGGAGACCCCCGGCTTGGCCTCCTCCTCCGTGTCCGAGCAGGCATCCTCCCGCTCACCCTGTGCAGCCACCTCTGTCTTGGGACCGCTGGGCTCGCTCAGTGTCCGTCTCCGTGGCTTTCCACTCTCAAAGGGGTCCCTGCTGCCATCAGAAAGCGTGGCACTGCTGGTGTCACCGCCAGCATAGGACTCGTCACCCACATCTGCCCGAGGGAGACAGTCCTGAGTCAGGTGCGGTGGTTTTGGGGCCAGGAGGGGCTTGGGCGGACTTGCCCCTGGTGTTCCTTCCAGTGCAGCCGCCAGGCTTTTCACTGTCCTGCCACGGCCAGTGTCACCGGGGGTGACACCTGCATCAACCGCATCCTGGGGGGCCGTGGGCTGCTGCTCGGGGTTGGGGGGCTGCTCACTGTCTGCCTCGGCAGCAAGGGCGCTGGAGACAGAGCTGAGGCGCTTGGGAGGGGGTGGCGGAGGGCCCTTGCGCTTGGCCCGGATGGCGAAGGACTGGCTGCGGGTCACCTT